CCCCAAAACCCCAAAACCCCAAAACCCCTGACTTCAAAGATCTAATTACTAAAGTAATATTTATGAATACTGATTAAATGATCATAAAATAAATCCCTACAGAGATATATTATGGATAACCTTCTTCAGAATAGCTACTTCTATAGTCTGTCTTTTTCCTTCCAAAATTAGATAAACTGCTTGAACTCATCTCTGTAATTTTCAGCTGTCTTGAGGAAGTCATGCTTTAATAACTCTGCTGCTGTTGCTCTCTTTTCTGGGTCTTTATTTAAGCATCTGTTTACAAAGTCCTAGAATGTTTGACTCCATTTAGGGTTTTAGAGCTTAGGTGCATCCTTTGTTACAATAAGATAGAGCACTTTCTGTTAAGGTTCACTGATATAAGGAGGCTCTCCGTCTGCTAATTCCAAAGCGAAAATACCGAAACTCCAGATATCGACCTTTATATCATATTGATTCTTTCCTCTAATCAACTCAGGAGCCATCCAGCATACTGTGCCTACCTTGCTTTATCTTCTATTTCTCTCTTAAGTAAGCTGAGCAGCATACCCAAAATCAGCCAATTTAAGATCTCCATGCTCGTTTACCAGAATGTTATCAGACTTGATATCTCTGTGCACAATATTTCTTGAGTGAAGGTAGTTAAGACCCATCAGAGTTTGGTAGAGAATGTATGAGCAAACACCTTCTGAAATATTTCCCTTTCTTTCTTCAACGATTGGAGTTAGGCAACCCCCATCCATGAATTCAAGGAAGATCCAAAGTCTTTGCCTGTAATCGAAGGCTTCAAAGCATCTGATAATATTATCATTACCCTGACACATTTGCATGATTCCTAACTCATTCTTGATGATTTATCTCTCCTTTTGATTCTTTGGCTCAATGAATTTCAAAGCGCAGTGTGACCCATCATCCTTCTTTTTAACCAGGAATACTCTAGCAAAACCTCCATATCCAATTTTCTTAACGATTTCATAGTATTTAGATGGATCATCCTGACTAAAAACAGAATTTATTTCCAATTCCTCTAGGAACTTTTCCTCTGAGGGAAGTGGTGCTTCCTCATAATTGATAGTTTTTTCGACGGCTAAGAGTACTGCCTCTGGATCTTTTTCAATTTCCTCTCTAGTGAATACTCCAACATACTGCTCGAACTCAGCTGGAAGACCCTTGAAGCCAGTTTTACTTTTAGCATCGAATTCAACCTTGAATACCTAATCTGTTTTGAGTGGTCCACTAATTACAAATCCGCCATCTTAGTCTTGCTCAGTTAGTAATAAGATTCTTCTTTTGGTAGGCATTACTGGTGCAATTGTCTTGTCCCATTGCTCAGTATCTACCTCTTGTCTGGAAACAGTTAAAGGCATGTCCAATAGCTCTCTCCAAACTGTGGGCAAGCCACTATATTGGCCTTTATCAGTATCATATTTCACAGATATCATCTTTTGAACTGAATTGGGTTTACCTACAATGAGATCATCCCCATCTTTATTTGTAGTCCTGTTTACTTTACATACATGGCAGATTCTTTACTGTTCATCTGCTGATGGCAGTTTCTCTCTATTGGAGCAATCTGTGCAAATGTCCTTTTTGCAGTAGTAGCAGGATGTAATCTTTTGTCTTAATTTAATTGGCTTTTCACAAGCTGAGCAGAATTTAGATTCCCCTTGTCCCATTTTCTTTATTTTTATGATTACTTTAAGAAAAAGATTTATTGAATTATAATTATAGTTAATCTGCTTTGTTAGAGAATTTATAAATTAATCTTAAAAGATATATAATATTTTATAGTTAAAGGCTATCTATCCTGATAAGGTTACAATACATATTAAAAGCTAGTAAATTCAATTCTTCTGATGCATTGGGATTAAATATATCACTTCTTTCATACCTAGGTTATGAGCAATCATCTATGCAGTGTTTACTATTGAGAGAATTCTAGGATCAACCTCACATTCCTCTTGATAGGTTCCATCATCCTTTAAATATCTCTCTGTTTGCTCTTTATACTGATTGATAATTTAATTGATACAGGACATTTCAATAATTTCCTCGAAGACTAGAGACTCAATAACCCAACCTCCATCAATTACAATTTTAATCAACTCTAATATTCTGATCTCCTCAGGTTAAATGTCTGATTAAGAGGTTCGTTTTCTATTTGAAGTCATCTTATTTAAGATTTTCTTATAGCTTTCCTTTTGCTAAGAATTAATTTTCATTCGCTCTAGTTTCTTTTGTTCTAACTATAATCTCAGATCTTTAGAATTTTACCCCTCAAGAGATCTCTCAGACAGCTGAGTCCTTAGAAGTACCTAACTGTGATCGATGGCACATTTAGAGGGGTCTTTATGCAGTCTAGTAGATATATCTAGAGGTGCTCTGGGTGATACAGAACTTGAACCTGACTAGTCATCATTATAATTCCAAATGGTTTCAATCTTTTCTTTGAACAATAGTGGTCTGTCTAATTCTACCCTGTCTAGCATCTTTTGCAGCTTCAGGCTCATTTCTTCATGATTCGATTATACTCTATCTGTGGTATTTATAAGTCTAGCTATCTATATATTTCTTTTATTGAAAAATTTCTTGAACTTCTTTCGAAGCATTTCCTTATCGATATCATCTTGTTTCTATTTCTTATCTGTAATGGTTTTATATTCTCTCATTGCTTTCCTCTTTCTTTCATCTTAGTCGATCCTATCTATTTAGCCCATCATTTTATTTAGTTCTCCTCTCATTGTATCTATTTGTCTATTATGCTCATCAACTATCAACTGCTTTCTTCTCTTATCTTGAAGCCACTATCTAAATCTTCTCTTCATTGTTGTAGTAAAAAATTTGGATGCCCCAGGAATCGCTGTGCCATTAGATTGCTAATCCAGCAAAGATTATTATTGCTGCTATTGTGATGCATAACTAGACTAGTTATCGTTCTGCTTACTTTATTGCCTATTTCTCAGTTAATTTTCTCGTTCGTTAAGCTTTTCATAATCTTCTGATGAATAATCATCTGAAGACTCCATTTCATCTATATTATGGCCATTGTTGTGGTTCTTCAACTATGTTTTGAAACTGTATTTATTATTACTGCTAGTTCCTTTCTAATCTTTTTATTCTATAGTTGTCCTAATCTTGCTCTTCTTCTTGCTAAAGCTATTGTTATACAATTCCTCTACCTTCTTGAGATCAAAATTATTGTTTTATGTCAGTGTATTGCTCAGCAAAGTATAGCTTAACTTGAATGAATTTTGATTGTTCTTAGTTTTAGTCGGACTTTTAGCATTCTTTTCTTCGTTTTCTTTGGTCAGCTTTTTATCTCGATTGGCATCTAGAAATTTCTGAACATTTTACTTTAGAATTCTGCCAATAGTGTTCATACTCATTTCCTTGCTGAAAATCAGTTCCATTTCAGCCTAACTCATTTCTGAATAGTTGAAGTCTGTTACAAACTAAACTAGATTTTAGTTGAAGTCAGAATCTCTGTAACCCTTGATGATCTAATTAAATCTCTCATTCCAAAAGTTGTGCTCCTTCTTTATCTTTGTCAAAGTAGACTAAACTGACTGATGTTTTGTCAATTGAATGCCTTTCTCTTGACAGAATTCTTCTAAAGATACTAACTTCTTTGGCTATTTTACAACTGAACTGTGGAAGAATGCAGGGTTTACAGGAAAGTCAAATTTTTGCTTCAACTCTTGAAGCATTTACTTTGGATCCTTCTAATTTTATATTTCTGTTTGATTCATTTCGTCTAAAACTTATTATTATTTTAAGAGCAGAGAAGCTGTATGATGAATTTTTATGTTTGAAGCATTTTTACTGATTCTAAAGTTGTTCTATGCGAGACTTACATTATTGCTATTATGAGATTTTTAGAGCATTGAGGAATTACGGGATATTGTTTGATTAATTAGTAAACTACTGTTTTTATTAAAAATCTTCAGATTTGGAACCAATGATGAATTGCTTGTATTATACTATAATATGGTGGGAACTTGGATTGAACTTTATGATCTCATGTTCTATTTTAGTCTTAATGTAGGATCCTAATCAGAATATTAGCTTACTTAGTGATCAAGGTAACTGCTAAGGTCATGCCTTAGCCTCTAATTTTCAAAGATTGGCAGACTTTGCTAGTTGACAGAATTAATATAATTCTGCTGGTCTTCAAGGCTAATTCCTCTTTTTACCTTCTTTACTGTCTAATAGCTATCCTCTATAGCCTATTTCAGCCTATTGTAACCTTCTCTATTGCTCAGATCCATTCTTTTGACATATTTTTTATACTTGGCAGAAGTGAAATTTATAGGTTTTTCTCAATTAGTTTCAACATATTTCTCATTGATGTAACCTTCAATACCCTCAAATATACTTTTCTTTGCTAATTTTAGTTAAGGTAGCATAAACTTATCATATTTGGATTACTTATCTAAATTATCTCGAGAATTTTAGTTGTCATTTTTGTCTTTATTGGATGGTGAGCTATCATTGGAAGAGCTTTTATCACTTTTGAATGAATCAGCTTCATATTTTAGAGTTTTATGTTTATTTTTTACTATACTACTTTAATTTATCATGCTTGATATCATTCTTGATGGTTTTATCTATGATGAGTAATTAGTTTGTGAATTATTATATGCTTGTGACATCTTTTTGATATAACCAAATTTACTGGATGATTACTAATCAGTAATATTTGCATAAGGATTGCCACTTAGATATGAAGCAGCATCTCTAATGGAATCACTCATTATAATTTACAATATAATTTTTTCTCATTAACATTAATTTCCTTTACATCTACCACATTGCACATATGTCACATTGGGGTTTTGGGGTTTTGGGGATATTTGGGCCTTTGGTGCAAGCTACAAGG